AATATCTCATGTCAAAACCAAAGTGTCAATAATCAAAACATATTATCATAAAACCATATCAGAGTGTAATCCCAAAGATCTCATGTGCGGAAAACATAGTGTGATGCGTTGCGATCAAGCCGACTCCTTTCCTTTGAAAACGAGTACCTGAAACCAAAACTGTAAACCGTAAGCACAAAGCTTAGTGAGTTCCCCCATCATACCACATACCACACAATCATATAACATATATATACTGTCAGGCATATATGGGTGCCCGACCTCCCCCTTCGGTCCTCTCGACCGGATACTGCCTAGCATATCTGGGTGCTAGCCTCCCCTTCGGTCCTCTTGACCAGATACTGCCTAACATACCTGGGTGCTGGGCTCCCCTTCGGTCCTCTCGACCGGATACTGCCTAGCATATCTGGGTGCTGGCCTCCCCTTCGGTATCTTTCAACCGGTAACCGGGGACTATTTCACCCCCCCAACACTACCACATAAAAGCATAGCATAAACACATAAGTCATATACTGCCTAGCATATCTGGGTGCTGGCCTACCCCTTCGGTCCTGTCGACCGGTAAGTGGGGACTATTTCACCCCTACTACTACCACATAATATCATATCACATTATCATAATCTGTCTAGCATAGTTGGGTACTAATCTACCCCTTCGGCCCTATCGACCGGTAACCGGGGACTATTTCACCCCCTACTACCACTATCACATAACATCATATCATGCTAGCACATAAACATAACAGGTAGTAGCAAACATCGACAATTATCACAAAGACAATCATCTAACAACAACTCCTATTGGTGGGCCGGCATTGTGGCCGTAGACCCACCGCTACTGGAAGGTAACTCACCTCGCACTGCTGAAGTCCTGTAGACTCAACCCCACACTGCTGAAGTCCCGCAGACTCGACCCCAGCTGCTGGATGATAGATTCCCGATCTGTCAATATCAAAACATCACCCAATTAATAATTGGGTCCCAACACATAACCAGTAGTACATTCTTTGGATAATTACTACATTGCCCCAAGCTTGGCTCATTCAAGCCCAAGGCCCAATCCATAGGCCCAAAGTCAATTAGGAATCAAGCCCAACACGTGACCCAATTTTCCAAATTGGGCCCAGGCCTATACATGGTCTTATTCTAAGGCCCAACATCATATAATCATTAAGGCCCAAACTATGGCCCAATTTTCCAAATTGGGCCCAAACCCCTTACATGGGCCTTATCCTAGGCCCATTAAATTATTCTAGTCCAATTGCTTGACTTTGGATGGCCAATTAATAACCCGATCATCAAGGCCCAATAAAGAGGCCCAATAATAAACCCAAATGAGATTAGGGTTTCACATAGAATGACAATTAGGGTTAGGTTTCCTACTTAACCCAATAAGGACTTAATCCATTAAGTCCATCATTCTTCTAAATAAGTCATATGGTGTGATTTGGGCTTAATCACACAATTCCATTCCAATGGCCCAAAAGTGGGTCCCAAAGTCCAAGCTCATAAATCCAATATTAGGGTTTTCTAAACCCTAATTAGGGTTTCCAACCCCATCTTAGACCAATAGGCCCAATAGCTAGGTCCTTAAGCCCATTAGGGTTTCCTAAGGTCAATTAGGGTCCATTAGACCCATTAGACACATGTTTGGGCTTTAATGTCAATTAGGGCTTCATTAGGCCCAATAGGGTTTCACTAAGCCCATTAAGGCTTCTTTGGGCCCATTAGGGTTTCAAGCACCCCAAATAAATCAACATAACGAGACAAGGCACACCGCCACCCGGCACGGCGGCCGGTGGCGGCAGGAGGCGGCAGTCACCACCCTAAGGTGGTGGTTTTCGGTTTTCTTTCATTAATCAAATTTTTTTACAGTTACAAAGCCCATCCGATCAATACACGCACACCCTAATCTAATTACAAACACATACACACGAAAATATACCCACCCATGGTGGTACACGGCGGCAGCCACCACCTCACGGTGGTGGCAGTGGCTTTTCCGGTCAAACGAAGTCACGCACAACACAAACACATGCTTCTAATTGTAACAAACACCCCAGCCACCCACCTGGTGGCGGCTGGCGACGACAGCAACAACGCGAGTGGTAACAGCGGCGGCTTAATGTGGCGGCTTGACGTTCGCAAGGTGGCAGAACGAAAGAAGAAGGAGACACGGAGCAGCTCCGACCGCGTCTTCCCGGTTGCAGCGCAGTGGCGGTTCAAAGCAGCAACATCTGACACCGGCGACGGAACACCGTAGACGGCGCGTCATCAGCCAAGAGCAGCAGCAACGCAAGACAGCGGTAGCAGAGGAGTGGGGCGACGACGTTCCTGATGGTTTTTGGCTTCAACACCGGCGGGTAATGACTTTATCGGAGGTGGTGGTGTGGTACCAGAAATCGCAAGTGATGGTGGCGGCTGGAGGTTATGGTTAGAGAGGATAGCGGCTGCATCGTCCATTAGGGTTAGGGCAACCAGGGATGCGGGTTCATATATCCCGCTCCTAACAAACTTCCATCCATATTAACAACATCAATCCCTCTTTTCCTCATTTCTTTCAAATTAAGGCCGATATTTACCATATAAACCCTCATAATCACAATCCCTTACAATTTAAGTACAATATTTACTTAACAGCCCTCCGCCTTGGAAATATTTTCAAAACTAATCCAGGATTTACCTTTTTAACCCCCGATTCCATAAATCTTTACAATATAACCCAGAATTTACATTTTATCCCTTAGTTCCATAATTCCTTTCATATTGAGTCCTAATTGTTACCCATCAGCCCCTGTCTTCATAAATAATTATAAGCTGAGTCTGAAAATTACACTTTTAACCCCTAATCTCTTAAAGTGTGACAATTAGCTCTACGAGACCATCATTTGGTATATAATTATTTATTTTAGGGCTTCTATTCGTTCATTAATTTATTTATTTATTAAATAAATAAACAGGGTGTTACATTTCACATGGAAGGTTTTTTCCCCAAATGTGAACTGTTTGGACACGTACTGGATTGCTGGAGTCATCTATTAAATTTCGATGAAGATTTGCGTTCCAATCTATCTCCTCGCAGACTATTTGCCACTACCACGTTGACAGTACAATCTCAATAAACCCTAACATTCATTAAGTATGGCATGATATAATCATTTATGCTTGCACATACATGAGTTCCACATTTTCACATTATACCTTCAAATTCATCTTCCTAATACACTACTCATATTCATTATCAACAACCTTTGTACTTACTTTCTATATCTTCTTCACAGAGTTTGTATCTCGAAAATAATGCGTTAACAGAGGAAGATCGTCAAAAAATATTTTTAGAAAATTTGAGCCTTTCCACTGACGATTTTGATGCAACACTGCACGATGTTCAATTAGTATGCTTCTATATCCACTTTATATAATTACTTAGTTAATACTTTAGCAGATATTGATGTAAGTTTTAGTTAGTGCATTGACAATACCAACACTAATTTTTTTTAATCATATCCTTAATATTTGTTTCAGCTATTCCTACCAGTCGTCCGTGAATTTCATATTTTCCTTTTCGTAATCGACTTTTAACAACTTGCATTTTGGATCATTGACAACATCAAAAGAGATGAAGACACCCAGGACACATATGGTCTGCTACCAGATCTCATTGTAAGATACAAATACAGACCACTATTATTTTTATATATAAATGCATCCTTTTTTAAAATATAATCCTATATTATTTCCAGCATTCATACATGAGTGACTATTTGCGGCCTATTCTCCATCCAAATGTTGAACCCTTTTCACATGTCCCAAGACAAATCCCCCAACTATCTTGGGCAACAGTAAAAAATAGCATTGACTGTGGTATTTTTACGATGCATCACATGGAAACGTTCATGGGTGGAAACATCATAGATTTCAAAACTGGATTCAAGTGAGAGTCGATTGCACATGACAACCAATTATCCAGACTAAGGGTTATATATCTGTACAAAATAATTAATTCTGACTACAACCTGCTGAAGAATTCAATCCTTCATCAGGTCGTAGAATTCCAAAAGCTTCCTGCATCTAACCGACAACAAATATTGAAAGATGCTGCAACCAGGATCCATGACAGATTGATTGAATTTGGTTAAATAATGTTGTATTAAGAAGTCTTTTTTGTTTAAGGTCTGGGAAGATTAGTAGGTTATTTACTTTTAGACTAGTATGAAGATGGAACAATGCAACTTATTTGTCTCTATTTTGCTTTTTGATTATGTACCTTCCTTTTTTCTTTATATTATATGAAAATATCTTTTATTATTCTAAAATGATTGTATCTTGTGGTTATTGTTAATCGAAACTAATATCTTAGAGTTTTGTAGCTGGCTTTTATATTACATACCCAAAATGTTACCACATGTTGGATTAATGTTTTAGACTTTTACATAATAGGATAAGCGGGTGGTACGATTTTAAAAACTGTGATTAAATTAGTTACAACCCAACTTATTTTTGTCATAAAAACATCATAAATTATGTGCATAACCAACTAATACATCACTACACATGTACCATGTATAGCCTTGTCCTTTTTTATTTTACTCCACTAAACTAGCAATAGCTTTAACATTTTATAAAATCACATACCCAATCAAAACAAACATTACAAGCATCAAACCATATCATCCTATATGATAAACGTACATAATCAACACACGCATCACCATCTCATAAAATATCATGGTTGTATACAATCGACACAAACATCACCAGCATCATACTATCTCTAATAGATTCAACCAAAACTTATGCGATAAAAACTAATTCAACATAAATAAAACAAACTTGTATTATTCAATTGAAAAAAATCCAATGCATAAGTTCAAACATAAGTCATACCATAAATACTAAATTATTAATGATAAACAAAACATCACTAAACTAACACTTATCCTAACTACAATTGGAATTCTCACGCGCAATTCTTACTTTGCAAGTCCTCCAATTATGATTCACATATAAGTTTCATCCTGTGCACTTTCGTGAACCACTTTTTGAAGATGCAGATGCCTTCTCCGCTGCACTAACCATCCGTTTCTTAGTACCACTTCCTTTTTATGTATCACTGAGGGGACATTAATTTCTATGTGGTCTGGAATACTAACCCAAAATAGTCTAAACACAGCTTCATCTCTTTCATCCAATCCAATAGTATTAACCGGATCTTGCTCAAAAACCCTCCTCATCGTGCGTGTGTTCTTCACAAAATCTTTTAATTTTTCCTTATCATTCTGAACACGCTCCAGACAGTACTCTATGTTACTATATGCTTCGGTTAACAATTTAAAAGTTTCATCTTCCATTTCACCAAGCCCATTCTTACTGACCAACAAATGGCTAGAAATAATATCCCTTCTCCACCTCCGCAGAATATATTGCTTCGGTATCTCCTCAATATGATTATTCTTCTGAACTGCAAACACATGTCGACACAAAATACCCATTCGCTTGAAGAGTTCACATGCACATTTTACTTCCTTTTCTGGCAACTTCAGTTCCACCTACAACAAAATTCTAATTCATACATTTGACACATTTTTTTTTAAATTCGTTTGTTTACATTCTTATTAACATTACGGCTGCTTGTACATTCAGATGAATCTTATGAACTAACCTTACACTTTGTCTTCAATTGTCTTCTTTTGTCCAAATGTGTAATCATAACTACCTGCCACCCATTAATATTTTCTACGCTATCAATTGAACAGTTCCAAGCTCCTTTGTATATCTCCTTTCGAATTTATGCAAAAACTGTATTTGTGGACACTTTTGCTGCATGTTGCTCTAATCCTGTGCCCATCCAAAATTTATGCTTTATTCTCTTAGTTTCATTATTAAGATGACGCTGCGTGTTACGCTGTTTTCCAATCGTCGTGTCATAGTTAACCATGAAATACAAAAGGAAATTCCCATGATGCGCGTACTTATTAAAAAACGAATTTGCACTTTCAGACCTGGAAGTTGTTTTCATCAGTCCATGCATTGGCATGTCCTTAAACTAAGTTGGTATCCATGAAGTCCGCCTGCGATACATGTCTTTAAACCATCGTTTATCTTGCAGATTGTAATCCTTCATCAATGATTTCCACGCTAATTCGAACTCAAGCGGATCCATATATATATATATATATATATATATATATATATATATATATATATATGTTCCATATAGTTTGTTGAAGCGTTTTCTGAAATCCGTGTTTTTCAGAATATCCCCACTAACCTGATACACAACCATTTTGTGGTCAACACATATGCTTGTTATACTTCAAATTACCCACACATTGTAACATATAAATGTACATTCATCAACAAAATTCATATTTGATTATATACTCACCACATGTAATCCACTTACCCATATAACATACCTTTGCCTGTAGTTTTTTTGTTATATGCCATAAGCATAATCTATGCTTGGCGTTCGGGAATACAGCTTCAACTGCCTGCAAAATCGCTGGATCCTGGTCTGTTGACACCAATGTTGGTTCTTTTCCATGAGCTTTTAAAAAAGCTTCAAGCAACCAACGATAAGACTCAATTTTCTTATTACTAAGTAGGCCAGCACCAACAGTAACATATCTTTTGTGATTATCAATAGCTGTAAAAGGGACAAATACCATTCCATACCCGAATACAAATAGTGGTCATTATTAATGACATCATACAAACAAAATAATCAAAATATACACATCATACAAAATAACACTAACAATAACACTTACTTATTTGTTCGGAAGGTAGCGTCAAAAGATATCACATCTCCAAACTCCTTGCAGAACACCTTATCTGTTTCATCAGCCCAGAACAAAGCATTCAACACGCTATCCACACATTTGTACTCAAAAGAATAATCCGGAAAATCTGTTTTCCTATCATTCATTTTATTCACTACCAACTGCGCATCCTTGTTGCCTATAATGTTACCCAAATTTTTCCTAAAATTTTTGTAATCACTCTCTTCAGGACCAACACACTCATACCCACCTTTTAACGCAACACGAAGTTTATGCGCCTTTATTGCACCAACATTTGATGTTGTTGCGCGGATAATAAACTCATTGTCCGCATAATTTAATTTTCTAGCTTTTTTTGAATGTTTGTGCTCTTCTGTGGTATAAAGAGGGTGGTTGTGCAGCTCTTGAAACTCTCTAATTTGGAACTCATTTGTTCCAATACTAACACGTTCAAACTTTATCAATGCTTTACAATCCGTTACAATAAAGTTTGAGTTTCTATGTTTCCTTCCACCATTGTCTGTATCCAGTGTATCCAGGCTTCTCTATCTGGTATTTTCCCTGCGCGATTGCAAACAACATACTTTATCTTTATTGATTTCTCATGTCGAAACCTTGAAGTTGTGTTCAACCGAACATCAAACCCAGCATGCTCTGCATATTTTCTATACATATTGATCGCATGTTTTAGTGATTCAAAGGTAACCTGATCATCAGGCATAAATTCTTTCGCGACACTAGGTTTCTATAGCTTAGATGATCCACCTGGTGAATATAAAATGCTATTGTTGATGCATTCGTTCATTCAATCAGATTCCGCACCTAATCAAAACCGTTCCAGTTTAATTTTATTTTTATATATAATAATTTTTTTTAACACTAAACAAAATTCATTACCATCACAATCATCAACACTTTCAACCGATTCATTGTCACTTTCATATGTTGGATTAGTGTCTAAGCCCGTAACTATATTTGGTAAGTACTTGACCCGGTTGTGCATGGTCCTTTTGGGTTGCCTTCACCATAGCAACTTGACAGGTTGATTTATATAGAGAGAAGAGATATTATTATATTAATATGTTAAAGGAATAATAATATTATTTAATTAATATTAGTCATAAATTAATTAGGAATTAATTTGGTGACTAAAAGAGGTTAATTGAATAAAGGGGCTTAAACTGTCAAATGTGTGATAGTTGTGTTTTTGGGCTATGAATCCTTATGGATATTAGGGTGGCCGAATTTTAGGGTTAGGATATCTTAAATTCGTCCAAGCCTTATATCTAGAAGGATCCTTGGATTGCTTAGGGCCTAAGTTATTCAATTAGGGTTAAGGATGTAACCCTAGTAGCTCATAGTATAAATAGACCCTATGGGTGAGAGAAATCGGCCACTCTTGTAAGAAAGAAACCCTAGAGCCGATTTTCTCATCTCTCCTCTCTCTCCAAATCATCCTCTTGCTAGTTGGTGTTTGTAAGCCATTAGAGGAGTGACAATTGTGACTCTAAGCTCCAAGAACAAGAAGATTCAAGCAAGCAACTTAAGGTATTCTTCTAGATCTGATTTCATGTGTTATGTTTCAATTGTTATCTCTAGATCTAGCATTGTAAGCCTTGGAAACATTGCATGTTCAATTAGAGAAACCTAGATCCAAGCATTAGGGTTTGCATGTGCACATAGGAAAGTTCTTATGGCTCAAACCCATCAGTGGTATCAGAGCCTTGATTGATTTCTATTGAATTGATGCTTTGGTTGATTGCTTTTTGCATGGAAAAATCGTTTTTGTGCCCCTGACTGATGAACTCGGCGAGTCCCATTGTGGACTCGGCGAGTAGCTCCAACTCGGCGAGTTCATAATGGAACTCGGCGAGTTCAAGCGTCAGTTAGAGTAGATTTCGGGATTTCTTGCTGTTTTGCTTGAGGATACTTGCCTTAATTGTTATGGGTCATTAAAATCTGAATTTTATCATATATTTGAGTATATCCTTGACCAAACAAAAGATAATTGCCATTTGATTGAATAATAATTTCCTTATATGATTATAATAAATTATTTGAATTAAATTGGTAAATTGTCTTGCAAGTTATATTGACTAGGTCAAATTTAGATAATCATTAAATTAATTAGTTAATTTATATTATTTGCTATTTGATCCTTTATGTTTTGAAAAGTTCAAAAACTTGCCCTCAAGTTTTGAAATTTAAGTTTTGTGATTAAAAGTTTAATTTGAATAATTTAAATTTCAAACCCTAGAATTTTACAAGTTTTAAAATTCAACCCTATACTTATAATATTATAAGATTAATATATATATATATATATATATATATATATATATATATATATATATATATATATATATATATATATATATATACTTATATATGCTTAAATGCTAGTCTTACCGTTAGTAGGCCTCATTCACGAAGCCAATCTATAAGGGGGTATAAGGTTATGGCCTATAAAATGGCCGTTTAATGAGTGTCCATTCTCACCCACCGCTTCCTTGATTGGTGGAGAGTCGTTAGGCGAATGGGTAGGATCGGGCAAACCCTTCCTCATTAAAAGTATAATGAATCTATATTAAGTAACTAAATGTTTTTACAAAATTCCCAATCTTAGTTACTTTAGGCAAAAAGTGAATTGATGCAATTCCATGAAATTACACTTTGTACCCTTGCTAAGACGTTAATGGAGCGCGTGTGGTTAACCGGCACATTAATTGGGTTCTAAGCAAAGGTGGCAAAGGGTGACTCATTGTTTGTTATAGTTCAATGGAGCGTGTGTGGTTTACCAGCACATTGAATAGGTAACTGTAACAATGAGGGCACCATGTATGTTTGCATGGTTATTCACACCCACTTTGTGATCCTCGGCATCAGAGTCACAAACGAGAGGGGCATATCGAGATTTAAACATGCCATTGAAAAGTTCAATGTATCTCAAAAGATCTAGGAGTTTTCAATACATTTAAAACCTAATTTCTTTTTCGTTTTTCATGGTGAAGAATTAGTGAATCGACATTCACTTGCCTTCAAATTATTTACTTATTAGATTACGGCATCCCTCTTCTAATTAGTAAATAATGTTGTTGGTTCCTAGCCCTAATTTTTCATTTGGGTGATTAATTTGGGAAATTCATTTCTAATCAAACTTTGTTCTTTTTCCATTTCAGATGTCGAACGCAAACAACAACACTTCTGGGTCAAACTCCTCTGGTTCATTCTCACTCATGAACTTGTGTGGGAAAGTGATCTTCGATGGGACCAATTTCAGTAATTGGATCCGCAACATTCGCATGGCCACTCGCTACGAGGACAAAGAGTATGTCCTCGACGAGAAGCTTAAGGAGATTGACATTGAAACTGCTACTGTCGATGAGATCGCGGCCTACGAGGCCCACGAGCGTGATGCCACGAAAGTCCATTGCATCATGCTCGCGACTATGACTGCTGAACTTCAAAAGTCCTATGAGGACAAGTACCCCTACGAGATGCATCAGGATCTGCTGGAACGCTACCACCAGAGCGCCAGGCAAGAAAGGTATGAGATCATCACTTCGATGATCACTACCAAAATGGGAAATGGAGAGTCTCTTACTGCCCATCTACAAAAGATGCAGAGATATGTTGATCGCCTGCTGAAGTTGAATGTGAACTTCGATGAAGAGCTAGCAATTGACATTATCCTTCACTCATTGCCT